TTATGAAAACCATATGTTCTCATTGCTTCGATGGAATTCCACATGAGACCTAAGAGTCAACATTACCTTCGCCGGTCTCGGGTCACTGTGACCTCGGAGAGAACTCTGACGTCTCCGCTTCTACCAACCAGGTGGAACTGTCAGGTGTATCCATCCTCCTGTCCTCCTGTCCTCCGCCTTCGGCTCCGTCCCTCCGCCGGTACCCCCGCTCGCTCCGACCGGGTCTCCTCAGAGAGCTCGTCGCCGTCGGCCACGTCCTCGGAGTCCGAGTCCCGGTAGGAGCCTCGGTCGGAAAGGGAAGGAGGAACCGAAGGAAGACCGGGGCGATGTGCGGGGGAGGGGTTCGAATTCTTTCTTGGGGGCTGCCTGAAGTGTGTGTGCTTTTTTTGTCTTTTGGCGCCTTTTTTGGAAGCTGGATGTTTGATGATGTTTGGATGTTCTGGACATCATGTGTTTGGGGAGTGAGTGTTGTGAAGTGTGAAGGCTTCATGCTTGGGTGTTGTTGATACTTCAGGGATCAACTCACCAAGGATTTGGCCCATCTATGCTTGATGCACTGATCACCGCTGACAATATGTACCGCTTGAGGCCGAAAACACCAGGGACACCGGCGCAAGAGATTCCAAGTGGAGTAGATGCCACCTGCCATGACGGAGACATCACGAGCCAGTTTGGTCAAAGAGTTCGTCTGATCTTGGTTTTGGTCATCCAAAATAGCATGCACCCCGCACCCTGAGAAGGGGAAGGCAAAACCAAAAACTGTAGATTCTTGGGGTCTCTTTTTTTGAACCATGGATCCATCTGGAGTTTTTGCGATTGGCGGTTCGTCTCAAGCATACCTTTGAGAACGTCGATGCAGCCCAACTCATACACACCCCTTCAAGACCTTTTGACTCGTACGAAAGCCCATTCCAGGATGGTGTTTCTTTGCTAACTGGATTTGGCTTCCACTGTGGGGTGTACCAAATGTACCTCGTGTTTGCTTCGCATTTCGCCTCTAGTGGGTGATCCGTTTGTGCACCAAACCACCACCCAATTGGCGGGCGCCAACGTTCCGAAGGTCAAAAAGGGGAACCGTCAGAAAGCATCATGGGACCCATGAATGGACTGGACTTGTGTCCTTTTCACTAAGGCTTTAAATGTTAGACTAGTGACTAGCCTTTCTTCCAGGGATGCCACGTTTTGACACCTGGACATGCGTGTTCAAGTTTCGAGCAGGAAAGATCAAGAAAGTGTCCCTGGACAGGCCCCAACGAGTAGGAAAGCGGAAAGTCCTTTGGGGGCAAACATACTCTCTAAATTGAACCGGCATAGACCCCAGATAGCAACTAGACAATATAACTCTAAAAATGGGGAGACAAGTAAGGAGACCAGGCAGCAGCGACAAACAAAACACCAGCAGAACCAGTGTGGAGACAAGGCCAGCGGAGGCGCTGCTCAGGGCGATGGGGAGACGCTCAGCCCGATCCGATCGGCCGCCGTGGACCGGAGCATCTGGGCAGAAAAGATCGTGAACTTTGAAGCATCCCCCTTTCCCTCACAACATCAGAAACTGCATTTTTCGCGCCCGGTTCCCGTTCCACGGACGCGCCCCTGCCCCGCACAACTGGCACAACGATCTGCGCGGCGCGCCATAGTGGCGCTTGCGGCGCCGTTGCACGGAGCAGTACTTGGAGGACAGGTGTTTGATGGCTGCCTGGATGGGCCGTGTTCGGCAGCAATGTCTGTTCTCGACTTCCAAGACATGACGGTCTGAGGGGGGGTTTTCCTGCGGGCAGACCTTCACGTAATTACGAAGGTCTTTTGAGTCACACTTTGGAATGCCAAACATCACTCATAGCCTACCTCCTGGTGGAAAGAAAGTCAAAAGCAAGAACAACCTAGTACTCACAGTGAAGCTACTGTTGTCTCCTCACCGAAACCACTTCCTTTGTAGAGGAACGTCGTCGTCCGGCCATCTTCCACTTCCAGCTTAGTGTTTCGGAGTGTAGATGCGGAACGTGGACACGATGCGGAATACAGAAGCAGAAGGTGCATCTGATGTAACAGACTGACGGATCAATCCCATAGCTGATCGCCCCCAGAAGGGAGATGCGCCGTTCTTCGCGCTGTCATGCCAGGCTAGCCTTATGCGATACACCCTTGAAGATGAACATGGAACCTCAAAACCACTCGGTTGTAGAGGAAAATAGTCTTCCACAGGTCCATGCCATCAGGTTTCATGTTAATCTTCCCGGTGTATCTGGTCTGTGTACTTTGGACCATCCAGCGAGGACTCGCCTCCTTGTTCTTGATTTCCCGCTGCACTTGAGCTCGGCCTCGGAGAGTCTAGTCCGAACATCTCGGCAGAAAGCACGATGCTGTCTTCCTTTTCAGGCACAAGTATGGAGGTGTGGTGAGTTGCAAATCGGATGATATCACTTCACCAGGCGAAGACTAAGTTGGCTAAATTGCTTCAGGTCCATTGTACCCCCATGGTGGAAGCTGCAATGCCACCCCATGACAGGTGACATATCTGGAGGAGCGACTCCATAAAATACCAAGCAACGCAAGCAAAGCCTATCTAATCTCACCCAACTTCCGAAGCTTGGGTCATGCCCATTCGACTATGTTGGGTCGTTGCATTCAGCAAAGGGGAAGGGGACATGCCTGTGGGTTGAAGCGTTCAGCTGTGAGGTTTTCAGCCTGCAGCTTTTCACTGGAGAACTTGGTAGATTGCAAACCGCCAATTTTGGGACGGGTCTGTCGGTGCATCGGTCATGCGAGCGTATGGTCAAGTCTTCACTTCCGTAATTTTGTGGGTTTTAATTCATCAGAGTAGTTTACTTTTGTGACACTACCAATGTGACACACAACTATTTAGAAACGTTCTCACATCTTTCACTTCTCACCCCCATCATACCCGGTACCACTGCGTATCAACGGATGTTTCAGCGAGCGTGCGGATATTGCGCCAGTCGTGTCACCAAGGTATCCTGGCCAAATGACTATAGTGCCTATCAAAGTGTTGGCCCGGCAAAAGGCTGAGGGCCGCACCCTTTCCCTGGGCATGCATGACAAGCACGTGTGCACTGGGTCATGGACGTCGGCTTAGGAAAAAAGGGGAGGCAGGAAGCATACAGTAGACACCCGCGCTTGCCCCCTGGCAAATCCAATGTCTTTCATAGGGATTCCTGTTTGTTTTCTTTGCAATCCGACTGACGTGATTTGATCTGCTCTCCAGCTACAATGTCCAACTCCTTCCTACCAAAGGCAATGCAGCCTGCAAAACGTGTTCATTCCAAAGGGGCCAGTCTCGTGCCAATGGGCACTCGTGCAGGCCCGTGCACAGGAGGACAATTCACCACGGCTCAGTTCCCACAGGGACCGTCCCGGTGGAGACCGTTCACCACAGACGTTCACCATCAGGCGATTGGAGTTGTTGAGGTGCACGGTGATTGGGGTCCCAGATGAAGTCGACACGTGTCGACTCAGAATTGACAGATCTCGGTTTTTTGTTCCCAAGTCTTGGGTCAGCTGGCCTGGGGTTACACTCCCTGAAACACTCCTGGTTACATAAATGGCATGGCTCATGGGATGCCCATGTTTCAATCACCAAACAGCTGGTGAACCTCGCTTCCATGCGCTTGGAACCCCAAAACACCGCCATTCTCTCTGCGATCCTTCCGCTGTTTCCGCTTCCACCCTCGTCACACCGCTGTTTCCACCCTTCGCTGAGAGAGCCCTGGACCGGTGGAGCCGACCGGTCCCGACCTCACTCATGATCTCCATGGTGGCGATCTTCAGCTGCGGGTCCTGGCGGTGCGAGGGGTGTGTCTCACCCGAGCAACGGCAAGGGGGGGGTTCTCCTTCAAAACAAAGGGAATGGAGGACAGGAACGTGTCCTGCAAACAAATGGCTTGAAAAGAAGGAATTGGTGGCCTAATTACTTTCCTTCATCGATTTGGATCAAGCAAGCAAGCAAGCAAGCAAGCAAGCAAGCAAGCAAGCAAGCCTACAAGATACCCCCTCTGGTGAGCTTGATTTCCACATCGGAGCCGAAAGATCTTGTGCCGCCAGTTGAGCGTGTCGAACTTGACCCTGCCTTACCTGAATCATCAGCGCCAAGCTGAACTAGATCTTTATGAAACAACCAAACGACTACCAGTTGAATTCCAACCCAATCTGCATCAGGAAGAAACATCCGCTCCGCTACTGATAGTTACAAGTTATAAGGGGTATACAAATACATGCGAAAGTGGAATGCATTCCAACTGATAGTAGCAACCAGGACCTCAGACATTCATCCATCATGGGAAGAAAAGGCTGCAACTAAACCAAATAAACTACAGTAACCTTAACAAAACCAAACAAAACAAACAAAAAACAATCCACGCTAGCACTCACTTTTCCATGGATCACATTGGTGTTGGTTGATTACGAACAAACCAGACTAGCATTCACCTTGCCAATGGATCACTTTGATTGATTCTGATTGACTCTATAGCAGTCCCAAATAGTTGCTGTAGAATTTGAAACGGTGTCCAATGCATTTTTTGTGGAGAATGTCAGTTTATTGTATCTATTTGGAGACCCCTATACTATCCGTTACTATCCTATATGTCACATGATATATCACCCATGATCTCTTTGCCCACACCCGAAAGTTGCCCCATCCTCCAAAAGCTCACAGCCCTTGGGCGATCGTTTGAGCACATCCCAGACCTCGACACACGGACGGTGGTCCGCCCGCCCGGCGGCGGGGAAAAAGACACGTCGTCCGTGACCGGGATGACGTTGGGATGTGTTGGTGGCTGCTTCTCACAACCCATTTAAAAAATGCACAAAAGAAACCAAATGCGGGACCGGAAGCAAACGTGAGAACGTTGGAGGAGGCTTTTTGGACCATGTAAAGGTGAAAACATCCGAGGATGATCTGCATGTTTGGAGGCTGTAGATGCTAGACCCGTCTTTGGACGGGCTGAGACCTCCAGTTTCCACCAGAACGATCCGAATTGACTGTGTCACATGTCCTGGGCTGTCGGATTGGTTGTCCTAGGAGGATCTCAGTCTTGGATCTTCACCAAATCTATCCAAGTGTTTAAATATATGCATATCTATGCAGCTGGATCTTTGCGGTGGCATCATTTGTCCCATTTTGTTGCACAAAAGGTTCATGGAGCAACTCGAGTTGGGGTCATTCGGCCATTGGTTTTCAGTTTGAGTCGGAAAAGAACAGTGTATACGGTGTTTTATGTTGTTTACATACTTAAATAACGAAAAAAAGATGTCCATATTAAAATATGTGGTTTGCTGTTAAAGAGTGCCCTGCACAGTGACTGGATATCGCCCATCAGCATTCCTTCTTCACGAACCCAAACACGGTGATGGAACACCACTCCTTTTGAGTGGACATATCCCGCAGCTCTTCAATCGGTCACGCTGCAGAGGGTTTTCAATGTCCTCTGAAACAACTCCTGTCAGCTCGAAAGGCGATGAAAAATGATGAAAATGACACCAAGACAAGAGAAGAAGATATCCGTCACTGAAGGAAAGACAAATGCACTGCAAGACACTGATAACTTGATAACCAAGCAGTCATCCCCGTGTCAGTACCACATCCCCCTCACCAAGTGCCCGAGCCGACCGCACGGGGGAGACAATATCGAATCTCGGCGCGCGGAGACATCGGCCGGTTCAAGGCCGAAGGTGGTGAGGAGCTGTTCCGGAGGACCAGAGAGGAGTCTTGGGTCCATCTACTACTCTACTGTAGTAGGGTCCATCTCGATATAAGAAGGAAAGAATCTCTGGGTCCATCTACACTAATTGTAGGTCATTCGGAGAGTCACTTGGTGAACCGATGGCACTTGTGCCCGACCCTCAAAAGCACCGGACATCGGGACCAGTTGTGACCCCCATCTACAGTACCTGTGTGAGAGGTTTGTATCATCTACTCTGAACGTACTCTACCTTTAAAGACACGACCCATCCTGGCTCGTGTGGGTGGGTGTGGCCCCCAGATCCTGGCTTTCTCTGGCTCTGAGGTTTTCAGCCTATGAGCATCCACGTGCAACAGAGCTTCTGAAGTCCGCGCATGCGTTCCCCAGGAACCAACTCGGAGGGTTGTGGATGACCGTTGGAGTGGGGAGATGTCCCTTTCATCGCAGCTCAGACAACGATCTGGTTCGGTTCTTCAGTGGTCAAGAACCACCTCAACGACTGGACATGTACAACAAATTCGCAGGCCCCTCCCATCTGGGCGAACACGAAGCACCAATGAAGGCACCAGCTTCAGATGACCCATCTGAGTTCTCCCCACTCGAGGAGATCGCGGACCTCTGGTTTCCGAGAATCCTGGTCGCGGAGCCCGCAGAGTCCAAATGCCGGGGCGGGCAGAACGAGTGATCATCTGAAAGGCGGGATTCATCAGGATTCGCCGAAAACTACCCTCCAGAATCCTCACAAGTAAAGAACGGCTGCCACTTTCGGAAGAATTTGCACGTGAGAACGTCTGAAGTCATGTCACGTCTGTTTTCCCAAGGGTCAAGCATTCATCACTGGCCTGATCCAAACCAGCCGACCAGAACCGGTCTTCCAGCAGGGCCGGGCCCTCCTTCCTTCGAAACGGACCATCAGCCGGGCCCGGTTCCGGGCCAGGAAGGGCCTGCAGAAAGTACATGAGCTTCCCATAGGAGTCGCGCATGCGCTCGGGGTTCAAAATCTTGTACCTGCGACCTAGGTCGCCCGCACCATGACAGCGATCGGATCGACGCGGCTTTTGGACGCGGTCGAACCGGACGCAGTCTAGCGACGGCCGACGTGGGGCGACGGCCCCACCGCCGATGGTTCAAAGGGCTGAAGGTCGTGGAGGGTCGCAAAGAGAAAGGAACGGCCCAGTCACACAAATCAAAACGCCCTCCCGTCATCTCATCCACATTCTTGATAAGAAGAGCTTTAGGCTCTTGAGCGGATTTCCAGCTGACCACCGAAGAGATTCTGAAGTCCCATCCCCTTCGTCCCAAGTCGCCAGTGGTCGGTCTGGGTCTCCGAACCAATCAAACCCGACCACTGGGTGAACGCCGTCCGCGTTCCGTGCTCCGGTTCAGCCCCAGAGCCGTCTCCCGGGGGGTTGGTTCCGGGGCCCCAAGCCAATCTCCAGCACAGTTTGGAAGAAAGCTTTCCTGCGAAACGCGGTTTGGAAGAAAGCGTGCGGCTTCTGCCACAGATTCGAGTGGCTTGTCTTGGAGCTACCGATGTGCAACAAAGAAACTAGGGATAGTTCTCATCGTTTCAGTCGATAACTGGAGCAGCATGGGATTGGTCGTTTCGCGCCTGGAACTGAATTCGCGGCTCTGAAGCAGCTGCTGCCCCTGCTCGTAGTTGTGGGAGACCTGACCAAGTTGTTGGGCCTAATCTCTCCATTCAAGATCTCAGAGATCTCACATGTCCATCTGCTGGCATTGTCGGATGCTGACACGCTCCGTGGCGCCCAACAACCCAACTCTATGACCCTCTTAGGAACTGACAAGCCCATGAAACATAGACGGAAGTGACGGAAGTGATGGAAGACTAGACTCCTGCTGTTCACAAGGCAAGGTGCTTCGAACTGTCGCAGGAAGCACTGATGATCCCACCATCCCATGCTATCTGTGTCGACCATGTAGTCTACTGACTCTACTGTCTGCATCTTCCAGAAGCCTTCAATTGCAGATCTCAGGATGGTCCAAAAATGAATGAAGTATTGGTTGAAAGGCCTGTAAGGAAGCTTTGGAAGATGGGAGCGGAGAGGTGGGTCCGCCTCTTCAGAAGACTCTTTATTTTATCTCATCGTGGTCACCAAAATTATAAGTTGATAGGCTTTCTCCTACTATCATACGATTTCACCCCCTTCCGTGTCACCTGCATCCCGGTGAGCACTGCACACAGCTGCTTCATCTGCAACCTGGGCTAGCTCCATGGATCAGACATCTCCACCGTTCCATGCGGGGACCCAGTAACACCGCCCAAGTTCGGACAATAGCATGGAAAAATAATGTTGTCTGATACTTTGAGCTGAACATGTGTATCTCGAAGGCAGCATAATACACCTGCACCACAAGCGGCCCCCGAAAACTGGTGCTCCAAAAGCCGCTCGAGGCGGGTTCTCCACTCATCTCCCCCAATCCTCCCATCGAAGCAGGACCCAGGTACCAAGCCGGACAAACGCTCTTTCCGACGCGGATGCTTTTCTTCGCGCAGAGCGAGCTCACTGCGGATCTCATCGAGGACTGCTTGCAAAGAGCCGTCCACTGGAGCAAGTTCATCGGGGTTGATGGCCTCGTGAGGCATCATGGATGGATGAAGCATTATCATTAACACCACCAATGGAGATTCTGTTCGGAATGTGTAGTGGATGCACTAGCCCTATGGTATTTCAGTTGGTTCATGATTCCCCACCATCAACAGCCTGTTTCCACTACAAGGTTTCATCTGACACCTTCTTCCAGCGTCTACATACCCTCCGAATGCGAAATGCAAGTTCAAATGCCAGCTGAATAAATACTTTGCGAGGGCAAAATAACTTCTTGGTTCGCAGAATAAACTATGACTTGCAAACATTTCAGTTGTCCAACAGAGTGCAGTACCTTTTCTTATCTTTAAGAAAGCCAACATATAGAATAAACTCTTCATCTTTCCAGCTTCTTTCTGCATTCTTTACCGGCTCCACCAGCAAGTGGAGGGTTTTCTGCCCAAACACGCACAGCTCGGCCGCCATGTCTTGAGTAGGGACATTGGTGTCCCTCCAGCCACCGCTTCAAGCCAACCAAGGTGTCCAACCCCACGCAGCTCGTTTTTTGGAGACCTCGACCTCGACTTCGACCCCTGGAGACCCTGGAGACCCGTGGAGACCACTTCGACCTCGACCTCGACCTCGCCTGCAAGGTCTCTTGGAGCCGCTGGGCGGCTCGTCGCCGGGCCTCCCTGGAAGCAAGGGAGGCGAGGGGTGACCAGTTGGGCCGAAGAAGATTCGGTTTGAGCCCAAAACAGAAGTGTTCGGAGGGTACACTGGGTATCAGGTGTATGCCAGATTGGTTTAAGGGAAACATCTACAGGAAGCTCATAGTTTGCGGGTGAAAACCATGGTTTGAGGTGAAGTACCCACCAGACATACTTACCATCAGCCAAACGAATTTCCAGGAATCCACAACTTATGTAGACTGCAATGACTGGTAAAAACAAATTGTCTCAAACTGCTGATTTGAGTCTGGCCACATCATCTACGGATTCCTAGATGCCCTGGATGCCAGGGGATGTCTCCACAAAATAGATCCGCACTCTAGACCCTTTCCGAATTTGGTCAACAAAAGAATGCAGGTGTCAATACAACTGAGAGTCCATGAAACGTCGGTTTTCGTGCCTATTCCATGTGGCACCTGTCAGGGCGTGGTTCTGCGACTCGAGCTGTCGTCTGTCAACCTTGAGTTGAAATCTAAGATTGCGCCTGCCTCGAAATAGGGAATCTGACCGCACAACAACAACACCACTGGGCGCAACACCATTGATTTGAAACAGTCAAGTCTTCCCCACCTCCAGCATTTATCCGTGTGGGTCCCATTTGCCGTGTGATGCTGTGTGTATATATGATGTTGGGGCCCATGACAATGTTCAAGACTGCAATTGGCAGAACGACAGATCTGTCATAAATTGCCCAAGGAGTGGTTCCCAAGCAGCAAGAAGCCAGAAAAGTCAAAAGTCAAGTTCAGCTCAAGGTGTCAAGTGCCAGCTGGTGTTTTGGCTTTGAGCAGTGATCTTACACAAAGTGTGACCTTGCGCGTGCACTTCCCACGGTTTTTTCTTGGGTCTCCCAGCATCATCCCTCATACCGCCGAAACATCTCCTCTTGCCTGTGCACACAGAGACGCGCAACCCACGATGGCTGGGCAGACACATGCGCGGGCCGTGCGCCGCGACGCCGCGACGCCTGGTCTCAAAGCAGCTGTGGCCGACCGTGGTCCGAGCGCTCATCTCCTGCAAGGTCGGCGCGAGGTCCCTGAAAGGTCGGGACGTGCTGCTTCAAATTCTTTGGTGTCCCTTTCCATGGTCACACGAGTGTGCTGGCCAAAGAAGGAGAAGGAAACTGGTGAGTCTCTTCATCCAACACAGGACGGAAAGAGCCTTGACGCACACAACATCAGGCGAGGCCTTTCGAGAGAAGTTGACATGTCCGTACAACACCAAAAGCACTTTTGCAGGCATCACCGTAGTCCAGAAAGCCAGCTTGAATAAAGAGCAAGTTGGACAACAACGAATAGATTTTATATAGGAATGTCAAGTTTGTTGTTGCAGGGCCCCGAAGCAATTTGACGCCATAGATATCCGTTGGAAAACTATAAGTTAATTCACAGCACTTCGCGCTCGAAGCCGCCCGCACGGAGAGTGTGCATCCGTCTGTCTCGGTCTGCCTGTCTCGGTCGGTCTGTCTCGGTCTGTCAGTCTGTCAGTCTGTCAGTCTGTCAGTC